CTGTTAAGTCATTGAAGATAAAAAGAAATGACCCAAACAAGCTTTAATCTCTCACTTAGTTGTAGATAAAAGGGGTATTACTTGAGGTTTAATATCTCTGAGGTATACTGAAGACGTGAGAGTTTAGAAAATAATTTATAGTGTTTTGAAGAGGATTCAGGAGTCAGAGCAGAGCTTAAAGACCAAAACAGTATTCCTGAGACAAATCTCAGAATGCCCAAGAAGCTGGCTTCCAAAAGCTCTGCAGAAGACAGCCAAAAGTAGTTTTATCAACCATTGTACAATTATATTTTTATATTAAGAGGAACTTTCTCACAAGAGTCTCAATCTGTGGATACTTAAGAGTACAAAGCACATTTGTTGTTAGCAGTTTAAAGATGTGCATTAAGTGATGAAATTCTTAGAAAAGATATAAAACCCTATCCCTCCTTTCAAAAACAACACATTTTAGTACCCTATGAGACCAGCATTTAGCTGCAGCTGTTCTTTTTTTTTAATTAAGGTAATTTCCTCTTATATTTCTGATTAAGTTAAGGTGATTCCTTTCAAATTTGTTTGGCTTGAGGATTTCCAAAGCTTATGACTCAACTAAGTTTGGAATCAATAGCTGATGAGATATACTGAGCATTTTAGGGAGTAAAATAGCTGAGGTTGTGAAGGGAAATTTAATTTTATAAGAAATGCTTACATTAATATGTGCACTGGGTATTGTCTGATGATTCATTGCAAATATCCTCAAGTTGGTCAACATCTTGATCCTCCAAACTGCTATTCTCTGAAAAAATAAATATACAAAATTATAAAACTAAATTTATGTATTACATGTCAGCAAGGCATATGTAAGTTAGAGATATGTAATATGTATGGTAGAAATGTATTACTTTTAAAAAGTCAGAACAATATTTTTAGCTACCAAAAATTCAATGCATCATTCAGAAAATGAAAATTCTGATTAAACATGAGAAATATGGTTCTTAAAATTTTCCTTATTTGTCAATGTACTTTAATGTTTAAACATATGACATTATGGTAGAAATCAACTTACTGAAATTACAAAACACTGTATCAACCAAAATGCATACTTATGTAACTATATAGAATTCAGTATAAAAAGCTAAGCATCCACTTATTAACTTGGTAACTTATAATTGGCAGTAAAATTTATTGGTTCATTTGCATATTCTGATTCTCCTACCATAAATATGTAAAAACTAAATCATGTAAAAAATACATAAAAGACCTCTTCCTCTGATTATAGAAACTAAGTATCTTCAGTTTAAAAACATTTACTAAATATTAACTATGTTTCAGGTGCAATATCAAAGCTATGAGAAATGCAAGATGCAGCTGAGACTGGGGATGGCAGGGAGACAGACAGACCATGTTAAACCAAGCTTGTCCAACCCTCAGCCTGCAGGCCACATGCGGCTTATGACAGCTTTATACTGCCCAACAAAAATTTGTAAACTTTTTAAAAACATTATGATATTTTCTTGCGATTTTTTTTTAGCTCATCAGCTATTGTTAGTGTTCGTGTATTTTTAGTGTATTGTTAGTGTTCGTGTATTTCTTCCAGTGTGGCCCAGGGAAACCAAAAGATTAGAAACCCCTGTGTTAAACCATTGTGATCCATGTTATTAAGAAGATATGTCAAAACTTATTATTACACCTAAATCTATTCTTTTCTGGATCTTAGATAAGGAACATTCACTACTCTTATTTAGAAAATCATCAAATTTTTTCATTTTATTTCCTAAATGTATCTTGAATCCGTTCCCTCTTTTTTTTTTTTTTTTTTTCCAAACAGGATCTCACTCTGTCACCCAGGCTGGAATGCAGTGGTTAGATCTCAGCTCTTTGCAACCTTTGCCTCCTCAGTTTAAGCAATTCTCCTGCCTCAGCCTCCTGAGTAGCTGGAACTACAGGCAGGTGCCATTATGCCCGGCTAATTTTTGTATTTCTCGTAGAAACTAGGTTCTGCCATGTTGGCCAGACTGGTCTTGAACTCCTGACCTCAAGTGATCTGCCCGCCTTGGCCTCCCAAAGTGCTGAGATTACAGGCTTGAACCACCGTGCCCAGCCTTGAATCTACTCTCTCTTCATTGGTCATGCCAAACAAAGTTCAGGGCCTCTTAGTCTCTCTACAATTACTACTGTAGTAGACATTTAATAGACATTTTCCTCTTCTTACTTTAACTCAGTGGTTGTCAATAAAAAGATAATTTGCACAACCCAGCCCTCCACCACTCAAGCCTATTCCTCTCCATTTATTCAACAAGAATTTACTATGTGCCTACTCACTGCTTTCTAGATATCGGCATTAATGCAGTGAACGAAAGACAACAATCTCTGTCCTCATACTGCCTCTATCCTAGTCAGGGGATAGAGACAACAAACAAAAGTAATGAATACAATACACAGTCTCTCCTATGATGGTAAGTGCTGTACAGAAGAATTAAGCAGCAAAGAGGAATTGGGACAGTTAGAACTGTAAGGGAAAAACTGCCTCATTAAAATAGTGACATTTAAGCAAAGAACAGAAGCAGATGGGGGAGGAAATTTGGGGGGAGGGGCGCGGTGAGAAGGATTGCTTTCCAAGCAAAGAGATTATATAACTTACTGTACCTGAAATATACAATGTTAGTTATTATCAGTTCTGGTTTTAAAGAGAATGATGAGATCCCCTCTAAAGACGGAGCCTTAAAAAACTGCCTCAAAGGCCCGGCGCAGTAGCTCAAGCTTGTAATTCAAGCACTTTGGGAGATTGAGAAGGTGGATCACCTGAGGTCAGGAGTTCCAGACCAGCCTGGCCAACATGCTGAAACCCCGCCTCTACTAAAAATAAAAAAAAATTAAAAAATTAAAAAACTGCCGGGAGTGGTGGCGGGCACCTATATCCCAGCTACTCCGGAGTCTGAGGCAGAAGAATAGCTTGAACCCGGGAAGCAGAAGTTGCAGTGAGACGAGATCGCTCCATTGCACTCTAGCCTGGGCAACAAGAGCGAAACTCTGTCTCAAAAAAAAAAAAAAGCCTCTAAGCCGGGAGCTGTGGCTCACGCCTATAATCCCAACACTTCAGGAGGCCGAGGCGGCTGGATTGATTGTACCCCGGAGTTTGAGACCAGCCTGGGCAACATGGTGAAACCCCGTCCTACAAAAATTTTAAAAATTAGGCAGGCGTGGTGGCCCGCGCCAGTAGCTCTCTACGTTTGAGGCTGAGATCGGAGGATCGCTGGATCCCGGGATGTAGAGGCTGCAGTGAGCCGAGATCGCGCCACTGCACTCCAGCCTGAGCGAAATGCCGTCTCAAAAAAAAACCCCACAAAAACAAAACAAAATACTGCCTCAAGTCCAAGCACCAAAAATTAATGAAAGTATTCTTTTGCTACAGTTCTTTTCGCTCCAGTCAACTGAATCACGTTCCAAGCTGTGAATTAAGAGAACTTCTGCAACTGTGCAGTAAAAGGGCAAAATTGGCAGTGTCTTTAAGTGACGTACTTTCTTGTAGTGAATTACTTCCTGGCACTAGGGGGCACTAAATGCAAGTCCACTCAGCACTTGATTCGATGCACTAAAATACCTCAGGAATTTCTGAAATCAGCCCTGTACCTCCAAAAACCCAGAATGTTGTCTTTCTTTTCTGACAATTGCAAAAGCCCAGTAGTTCCACTTTTCCGTACGGTAAGTTTTCATTCCTCAGTAACCTTCACAATCATGCACACATTACCCACAGTGACCGGAACAACTTGAGTCGCCCTCCCGAAGGATAGAGAAAAATTTACAAGAGCTTCTGAAAGAAGCATTACACATAGAAAGAAACAACCAGTATTAGCCTTTCTAAAAATATACCAAAAAGTAAAGAGCATCAACATAAAGAAGAATTTACATCAACGAATGAATAAAACAGCCAGTTAACATCAAATGGCAATAATCCTAAATTTAAATCGACTCAATCCCGTAATCAAAAGATACAGCCAAAACCCAACGGTATGCTACATCCAGACCCATTTCACATGCAAGGATACACAAAGACTCAAAACAAAGGGATGGAGAAAGATTTACCAACCAAATGGAGAGCAAAAATAAATAAATAAATAAAAAGCAGGAGTTGCAATTCTCGCATCTCATAAAATTGATTTTAAAGTAACAAAGATATAGTGGTAAAAGGATCAATGCAACAATAAGAGCTGACGATTCTAACAACCAGATACATAGAGACTAAGACTCAATGAGACAGAAAGTTAATAAGGATATCCAGGACTCGAACTCAGATCCTGAACAAGTAAACAATAATATTTATAGAGCTCTCCACTTTAAATACACAAAATATACATTCTTGTCAATACCACATCACATCTACTCATAGGTTTAAATGAAATTGATTGGCCATTATGAATACCCATTTTTTAGAATAAAGCAACATTTCTGTTCTCTCTCCCTCTTTTTCTTCCTCTTGCTTCCTCTCCTTCACTCCTTTTTTTTCTTTCCTTCTCTCCAAAAAAAAAAAAAAAAAAAAAAAAAAAAGATAAAAACTTCCCCACTGAGCGAACACCGAGGGGAGTCCGGAGATCGGAGGATCGCTGGATCCCGGGATGTAGACCCTGCTGTCCTCCTCCGTGGCTGGCTGTGTCCGTCGCAGCCTGGAAGGTCAGCTGTACCCAGCGCAGGACAGGGTCATAGGCCCGCAGTGTCTCAGAGCTTGGAGCGCTACTCACCTGGCATTAGGTTGCGTACCGCCGTCCAGCTAGTCACCGCTAGGTTGTTGAAGCAGGAGGCGCAGGTCGTGCCGAAGTCTGCAACAGCCTCAAGTCCCGTCGCCTGCCTGAACACACGACAGTGTACCTAAACTAAAGGAACGTAGGATTTTTCCGCTTTTCCGCCCTGAGCAGCCACCCTTCAACACTTCCGGCGGTGCACCGGCCAAACGCCGCCAGCCAGCAACTTCCGTTCTCCTAGCTGAACGCGGAAAACGGAGGCTCGGAAGTGCTGCGTGAGCTTGGTTTTCACTCGGCGGTTTAAAAAGATTACCCTTTCCTGTCGCGGCCTGCGTGGTGTCGGCTCTTGGGTTTCAGAGACCTGAATATTAAGAGCATTTTTACACCCCAGGGGCCGCTAGTGGCGACTCTGCGGCCATCACCATGGTAAGGAGGATGCCTCGGACGCTCGCGACATAGGGCGTCTCAGTTCATAGGACCTGAGGGTTCTAGGGAGCTGGGGCATGGGGTGAGTGGTGTTTGGCGGAAATGAGAACTTCTGAGGGAAAAAGATGGTGGACTCCTTGGGGTGGCCTCTGAGAAGTGGAAACAACTTCACGTTAGAGACACGGAGAGTATTTGCCGGAATACAAGCTTTGGAGCAAGACAGATTTTACTCTGTCTTGTTTTTTCTTTTTTATCCACTGCTAAGAATCCTACAAATTCCTGATTTCACTACAAGCGTGGTTATCAGCACCAGTCTAATGGGAATGTGGCTGTGCTTTGTTACAACCTTAGATGTTAATCCCTGACCCTTCATTTTACTGCTGAGGAAACTGAAGGCGTCCTTGCCAAAGATCAGGCAGCTAACGAATTGCGAAGCCGAGCTTAACGCTCAGATCTAACTGCCAGATCTTTTGTCTGTCTGCTACGTCTCTAATATGCGTTTCTTTGCACAGTGGCATTCCACACACCGTTCGTATGTGTGGAGTTGCTGCAAAGTTTATGTGATAGCACACCTTGTTGGTTGTTACTTAACATTTTTCTCTGTTCTGGACTTGTCTTTGTGTCATTTTTATTTTTGCAGTCTTAAAATACAAATAGACTTGCGCCTGTTTAAAACGCGTCTAAAATGCAAAAGCTTCCCATACATTGCTGCTGGAATGCAAAATAATACACTTTGGAAAACTGTCCGACATTAAACATATGTCCACATGAAGACTTAAATGCAGTTGTTTATTTTAGCTTTATTCATAATCAGCCCAAACTGGAAACAACCCAGATAACTATTAACTGGTCGCTGGGTAAATCAACAGTGGTATATCCATACGATAGCATACTACTCAACAATGAAAAGGATTGAAGTACCTATACCTGCAACAAATTGGATGAATCCCAAGAGCAAGAAAGCAGATGCAAAAAGCTATTTACTACTGTTGATCCCTGTTACATTCTGGGAAAGGTAAAACTATAGGGATAGGTATCAAATTGAGAGTTGGGAAGGAGGATCGACTTCAAAGTGACACAAGGCAATTTTAGGGGGAAATAGAAATTCTCTGTATTTTGATTGTGGTGGTTATAGAACTGTAGTCAGTCAAAAGTTAGAACTGCGCAGCTAGAAAGGACAAGTTTTACTGTGTATAAATTATGGTTCAATGAAAGTGACTTAAATTTTTAAAATAAAATTTGAAATGAAGACGTGATTTAAAAAGCAAATTATGTCAAGGAAAAAAGATCCTCTAATCAGGATCTAATAGATTTTGGACCATTCCCTACTGAGATTATTAGAGATGTAAGCGCTAAAACCTCATATTCAAGATCAAAATTTAACTGACAAAAATTTAACTTACATCATGTGAATAGACTTACTGGTGCAAGAATCATTTAAGTAAGTGAACATTTGGATGAAACAGGGTCTTAACTACTTTAGTGTATGTAAAAGAGTGCATTTTAGAATAATTGTCAGTACTTTAAAAAATTAAAATAACATTAATTGCATCATTATAGCCACAGAACGAATATATAGAATTACATCGTAAACGCTATGGATACCGTTTGGATTACCATGAGAAAAAGAGAAAGAAGGAAAGTCGAGAGGCTCATGAACGTTCAAAGAAGGCAAAGAAAATGATTGGTCTGAAAGCTAAGCTTTACCATAAACAGCGCCACGCTGAGAAAATACAAATGAAAAAGACGTAAGTGGTCCAATTTATTTGTAATAACAACTTAACAGCTTTTGAGTAATCATTATTAAAACAGATAATCTTGAGTATTTTTTCCTTCTTGGTAGTATCAAGATGCATGAAAAGAGAAACACCAAACAAAAGAATGATGAGAAGACTCCACAGGGAGCAGTACCTGCCTATCTTCTGGACAGAGAAGGACAATCTCGAGCTAAAGTACTTTCCAATATGATTAAACAGAAACGAAAAGAGAAGGCGGTAAGCAGTATTAATTTAAGTCTTTGTTTTGTTTAGGAGAATTACTTACATTCAAATTTGAGGTTCTTACTTCTTCAGTTTAATTTGAAAACACATGAAATACGACTATTATTCCCATTATTTAGATGTTGAAGTCTTGGTAAATTTAATAATAAAAATCTTGCTCTCTCATAAGGTTTTAGAATTTTTTAAAAAAAATTCTTAGAATGCCATATGAAATTAAAACAAAAAGTTAGTAAGGAGTGAATTTCAAACACAGTATTTGTCTTCCCATTTGAAAACCCACGACGTTATGCAGTCTTAAAGAAAAATACAAATGCTTCTTATTTGTGCTGCCCTGTAATGCCAAAATTAGTTAAAAATTAGAATGGTGGAAAACTCCTTAAGTGGTCACAAAAATGTGGCTTTTTTTAAACACCTGTGAACAGATTAGCAGAAATCCAGATAAAAGAATATGAGGTATCTATATTTAAAGAATTCTACTGCCTTACACGACTTCAGTTTTTTCATAGAATTTGTGCTCCAGGGAGGCATAAAACATCTGGTGAGGGCTTTGTCTTACTAGTAATCTACAAATCCATTTCGGGAAGAAATGCAAAGACATAAGAGGTGAAAACACTCTTCCAGTGTTATGCTATTAAACATACACTGCTTATAGCCATCACCATCGGCTGGGTGCAGTGGTTCATGCCTATAATCCCAGCACTTTGGGAAGAAGAGACAGGTGGATCACCTGAGGTCAGCAGTTCAAGACCAGCCTGACCAATATTATAATACCCCCACCTTCTACTAAAAATACAAAAATTAGGTCCAGCCTGGGCAACAGAGCAAGACTCCATTTCAAAATAAAAGTCACCATTATATTACAGATGGTATTTTTTTCACCCATAACACAGCATTAAGATTTTTTGCTTAAGCCAACAATTTATTTAATGTACCCATGATATATAAACTTAACTAGTTTTGTTTAATTTGCAGCTTGTGAGGAGTCAACACAGAGCTCTAGAAAAACAGTTGAGCCAAAAATGTGTTGATGGCTAAGCAAAAAAATGATCTACTGCTTTGTACAACTAAAGCATATTTGACTTATCATTGCCCTTTAAATACAAACTTTAACTGTGACATATTTTTAGGGAAAATGGGAAGTCCCTCTGCCTAAAGTCCGTGCCCAGGGAGAAACAGAAGTATTAAAAGTTATTCGAACAGGAAAGAGAAAGAAGAAGGCATGGAAGAGGATGGTTACTAAAGTATGCTTTGTTGGAGATGGCTTTACAAGAAAACCACCTAAATATGAAAGATTCATAAGGCCAATGGTAAGTTCTTGGAAGAGTATAGTGACCAAAATATTAGTTATCTTTGTTAAGTTGGATAAAGAACATTATAATTTCCCAAAATTCTTTAAATTGATGTGGAACAGGTTGAAAGATATTTTTGTGCTATTTTTGTTATTCTAACTTAGTGATAGAAGTTATTTAGTACTTTCTCCAGTAGTCAAAAATCTTCAGGTTCATAAAGATTTGAAAAAATAGTGTCATAAGACATTGTCAGTGAATTCTGACTTTTAAATATGACATAATAGAATCTTAATTTTCCACACACAGTCATATTTTCCTCATTCAGCTAGTGATCTACTATATGCCTGATACTGTCTAGGCCTCGGACACTTCTTGTCTTTGACAACAGTTGGAAAACTTGAGTAGTACTGCTTTGTAAGAGTGAATTCCAGTTTGGTAAGGAAAGTATCTAAATGCTCTTGAAAATCATTGGAAAAAGGAAGATAATTTAATCTAGTTTAATTTCTATTGAAGGCAGTAATAGTAATATGACCCCAAACTTCCCTACCCCAGGGAGAAACATAATTGAAGATACATTTTTACAAAATCCCTTCAAAGAGACTGAACTATGCTCCCAGTTAGATGCACAGCCTCCTTAGAAAAACAAAATATCCAAAAGGAAAGTTGCAATATCCTAAAATCCTGGTGTTCAACCTGAGTAATTTTTAATAGATTAAAATATTGGCAAACAGCTTGTTTCTATAAATAAAGCTTTAGTGGAACACAGCCATGCCTGTTCATTTACATCTTTTGTAATCCCCACCCCGAGAGTTGAGCAGTTGTAATAAAGGCCATATGGCCTGGCGGAGCCTAAAATGTTTACCTGTTGGGTTCTTTACACAAAATGTTTGCCCACCCCTGGATTATATAATGGACTCTACTTGTTTTGGTTTTGTATTCATATTCTGAACACATTTTGTTAACCTTATTAGTTCTACAGGGAGAGAATATACAAGTCAGACTATTCTGGGTTTTCTGTAGTTTCACAATTTGTCATTATGAATTAACCAGATGGCATCCTGAATGGTGTCAGTTTCTTACAAGCTTGATTAATAAGCCTGTTACTAGGAAACTGATTTAGTGTTGTCACCCTACCCCCTGCACGCAAAATAAGACTGCAAAATATTGTGCCATTTGAAGTACTAGACCCTAAAACATCCTATTAGGTGACTGGATGACTCCGTAACCAGTTTCTGTAGGAAAGACTTCTCCGGGCCTTCTCCAGTGTCCTACCACCAACCTAAGGAAAGCTGACAGTCCACTCCTTTTTTCATCATGGAAGGTAGCTGAGGTATATAAAGGCTTGGAATCAGGATACGTAGGTTTGATTCTGTTTACCACTCACTATTTAATCTGAAAACAAGTCATTTAACCTGCTAATCCTTGTTACATCATTTGAAATCAGAACGGAGAGGGATGTGTTTGTTGTGAGGTTATTGTGTTTGAGCCAGTTGTGAGCTAACATAATGGCCTGGCATGTATCAAGTCCTTAGTAAGTCTTAAGTGTAGATGACTAGACAGTAGAAATCTGAGTATGTTGCTAGGTAGCTGTTACACAGTTTAAGAAAAAAAAAAAAAAACTTCAGAGGCTAGCTGTGGTAGCCTGTAATCCCAGGAGGCTCAGGGGGTGGATTGGTTGAGCCCAAGAGTTCGAGGCCAGCAGGCAACATGGTGAAACCCCATCTCTATCAAAAATTCAAAAATTAGCTAGGCATAGTAGTGTGTGCCTGTAGTCCCAGCTACTCGGCAGCCCGAGGTGCATGGATGTCTTGAGCCCAAGTAGTCCAGAATGCAGTGATCTGACATCATGCATTGCACTCTGGCCTGAGCAACTGAGCAAGACCCTGTCTCAAAAAAAAAAAAAAAAAAAAAATCTTGGCCGGGCGCGGTGGCTCAAGCCTGTAATCCCAGCACTTTGGGAGGCTGAGGCGGGTGGATCACGAGGTCAAGAGATCGAGACCATCCTGGTCAACATGGTGAAACCCTGTCTCTACTAAAAATACAAAAAAATTAGCTGGGCATGGTGGCATGTGCCTGTAATCCCAGCTACTCAGGAGGCTGAGGCAGGAGAATTGCCTGAACCCAGGAGGCGGAGGTTACGGTGAGCTGAGATCACGCCATTGCACTCCAGCCTGGGTAACGAGCAAAACTGTCTCAAAAAAAAAAAAATCTTAAGTACATGCGTGGGTGTTTTCCCCACATATTAATACTGTAACCATCAGGTTTTTAGTCTCTAGAACGTATTTTGTTAGATGCTTTAAGATGACATTATTCAACCATGATTTTTTGGAGATGGTTGAAAAAGATAAGTGAAAAGGACCACTACTCTTCACTGTTAACATTTTGGATGTAAGCATTCTTATGTTGTATTTGACTTACTAGGGCTTGCGTTTCAAGAAAGCCCATGTGACACATCCTGAACTGAAAGCCACCTTTTGCCTACCAATACTTGGTGTAAAGAAGAATCCCTCATCCCCACTGTATACAACTTTGGGTGTTATTACCAAAGGTACTGTCATTGAGGTAAATGTGAGCGAACTGGGCCTTGTGACGCAAGGAGGCAAAGTTATTTGGGGTAAGTAAATTTTTTCATACAGGGCTGTTGCTTAATAGAAATACTCTTCAAGTTGATAGAGTAATAAAATACACAGCAAATTTTTTTTTAATGCAGGAGAGCTAGGTTAAAGCAGTGTAAATAAGATGTAAATCTTTAGTTAACAAAAAAACTATAGAAAAAGTGCTACAAATACAATTGTTTTTAAATTTAGCTTATTGGTTTTAGGTATAATACATTCTGTTAGAATTATTTTGATCCTCTTTGGCCAGGCGCAGTGGCTCACCTCATGCCTGTAATCCCAACACTTTGGGCCAAGGCAGGTGGATCACCTGAGGTCAGGAGTTGGAGACCAGCCTGGCAAACATGGTGAAACCATGTCTCTACTAAAAATACAAAAAAATTAGCCGGGGGTGGTGGCAAGCGCCTGTAATCCCAGCCACTTGGGAGGCTGAGGCAGGAGAATCACGTGAACCGGGGAGGCAAAGCTTGCAGTGAGCCGAGATTGTGCCACTCCAGACTGGGCAGTAGAGCAAGACTCCAGCTCAAAAAAAAAATCTATCCTTTTTAATAAAAATTGTTTATTATAAGGGAAGTAGATGCAAAGTTATAACTAAAAAGTATTGTAAGGAAATAGAATAAATTAACCATGAGCAGAGGAAGTATATATCAAACATTTTAAAACTGAGGTCAGCTGATAGGAAGTATCAGCCAATGACTTAGGATGTTTTCTGAAAGAAAAAGCATCTCTTGCCATAACTTTATAAATATTATGTAAATACTCCTTATATTTACATGCTGACATTAAAATACCTACAGAATTTAAAAGAAATAGATCTATCTGTCCCACATAGGTAACCTGATAACTAATTGAAACTGCCAGGAGCAGTGGCTCAGCCTGTAATCCCAGCACTTTGGGAGGCTAAGGTAGGCAGATCATCTGAGGTTAGGAGTTCAAGACCAGGCTGGCCAACATGGTGAAACACAATCTCTACTACTAAAAATACCAAAACTAGCCAGGCGTCGTGGCCCATGTCTGTAATCCCAGCTGCTTCAAAGGCTCAGGCAGGAGAATCACTTGAACCTGGGAGGTGGAGGTTGCAATGAGCTAAGATTGTGTCACTGCACTCCAGCCTGGGCAGCAGAGCAAACCTCCATCTCAAAAAGTAATAATAATAATTGAAACTGATTTAACAGCTTAGTTTGTTCTGTTAATGGGATTCTCCTGACCTCCCAGAAATTATGGAGAAGCTTCCAGGCTTTAAAGCTCCCTTGCCATCTAGGTGCAGTGGCTAACACCTGTAATCCCAACACTTTTTGGGAGACTCGACTGTAGTCTCACTTGAGACTAGAGTTCAAGACCAGCCTGGTCAACATGGCAAAACCCTGTCTCTACTAAAAATACAAAAAAATTAGCCAGTCATAGTGGTGGGCGCCTGTAATCCCAGCTACTTGGGAGGCCGAGGTGGGAAAATCACTTAAACCCAGAGCTTGCAGTGAGCTGAGATCGTGCCACTGCATTCCAGCCTGGGAGACAGAGCAAGTCTTCGTCTCAAAAGACTTTTATTTTGATCCTTTTAAATAAAAATTGTTTATTGTAAGGGAAGCAAATGCAAAGTTATAACTAAAAAATATTTAAGAAAATAGAATTAACCATGAGCAGAGGAAGGGTATATACATCAAGCATATAATCACACTAGATCCATATTAATTAAAACAGAAATGTGTCATGCACTAATTTTAAAAGCCCTCATTTGCTTACTTTTCTACCTTTAGTACCCAGATCCAGTTTCTTTAAAAGGGAAGAATACATGCTACAACTTCTTAAAGTCATTGGCTTATGCTTCATGTCAGCTGACCTCAGTTTTAAAATACATTGTTACCTTGACTTGAACCTCATTTAAAACTTGATACATTTTCCAGGGAAGAATTATGTGAAAAAGTGACAATGCTCAAATCAGTCCATAAAAGCCTATTAATGCAGGACGCTACATGGAGCTGACCATTATTTGTAAAAACACTATTTATATGAAAATTGTATTCAGAACTCAAGCTTATTCTTAAACGATTTACTTTTGTAAAATCTTTTATTCTTTATGGCCCATTCCTTATTTCCTAAAAGTGATAATTAGAAATATTTTAGGCATGACCAGGTGCCGTGGCTCACACCTATAATCAGAGCACTTTGGGAGGTCAAGGCAGGCAGATCATTTGAGCTCACGAGTTCGAGACCAGCCTGGGCAACATGGCAAAACTCCATCTCTACCAGAATCAAAAACAAATAAATTATCAGGCAGTGCTGTGTGCCTGCGGTCTCAGCTACTCAAAAGGCTGAGGCAGGAGAATCGCTTGATCCCAGGAGACAGAGGTTGCATTGAGCCGAGATCACACCAATTGTAATCCTGAGCAATGAGTGAAACCCTGTGTTAAAACAAAAACAAAAAGTTAGGCAAAAGTTATATTCTTTAAAATTAATTTTTATTAGCTAACAACCCTCTCCCTGTTTTGGTTTTGTTTTCCTTAGGAAAGTATGCCCAGGTTACGAACAATCCTGAAAATGATGGATGCATAAATGCAGTCTTACTGGTTTGACAGCAATTTAATATATAATTAGAGGACTACACACCAATTGGAAAAACTGCCATTACTGTAATGTTTCTGAATACTACCAAATAGCCATACATGTCTGCAATCAAGAGATTTATTGTAAACATTAAAATGGTCCCACTGTATAAATGGTCTTTATTTTGAAATCTACTTAGACCCTATGTTAATAAAACTGATTGAAAAAAGCAAATATGCAAATATTCTACTTCATCAATATCTGCATTTATGAATGGGTATTCAGCAATACAGATTCCGCATTTCCTGGAAAACCACCAGTGTCAGTTGAAAATGCCTTTCAAAAAGGTTAATGCACACTTAATTGTGTGAGCATTTAACTTCAGTATCTTCCACTTTAGTATCTTCCACTTCATTAATTCTAAAAAAAATATAGCAATACATGATGTTAAGGTTATAGTGTTTACGCTAAAAGTATGTGAGAAGACACACTAAAAGTTCAGAACTCTCAGAGAAATCTTTTCACTTGTGAAATCCTTAATTTCTGAGTACTGCTAGCAAAGATCTAGTGAATTCATATTCTAAACCTTTGTCTCATTTACCATGTATGTATCTACTTGGCACTATTTTCTACTTGATTCATGAAAATGAAAAAAATACATTAGTCTTTGTACTTTCTTAGCATTTTCTGTATTCTAAACAATATATTTATTCTTTCAAAATGTTATTAACAATTAGTTAAGTAACTCCAGCTAACTTTTAAAAGGAAAAGACAACTGCACTGATTGTGAGGAGAAATTTATTTGCAGTTACTTAGATGATGTAAAAAGGTAAGGTTTTAGAGTTGTAACTTAGTGAAAGCACTGTTGTGATATGTTGTGGCTGTAAATTACATTAATTTATAATCACCACATTGTTTTAAGTTGTTTATTTTTTTAAAGTCTGTCTTCAGAATACAACCAATGTGATTAATTGTGCCTTTAACGAAGTCATTCACTGTCTAAACAAATTCTGTATCTGAAACATCTTCATGAGGAAAACAGAAGGAAAAGAATTTCAAAACACAGACCAGGAAACAATTATAAAATATAGGTTTAATTACTACTTTTAAACTTACTTTAAAAAAAAAAAACTACCAAGAAAACAAACAAAATACTTCAGTAAGACTTGCTACTCTGAATGTTAACATTTTTTCTAAGTTGTATAAATACACTAGAGGTTTTAGAACACATACAGACATTTAGAAAAAGAAAGGCTAGTTCCTTGGAAATGATGATCCAAGATGATACAATCACTTGATGACAGAAGCTAAGCCTTTCTTACAATTAGATTTTAGCAAGTAATTTTGCCACTAATATAAATGGGTTATGCGTAGATCACAACTTCAAGAAGGTGGGGAAAAAAAAAAAAAAAAACTGACTCCAGGTAATTTCTGAATACTACAAAAATGAAATTTGCTTGTTTTTTGTAGAACCAAAAATAAATTGCTATTTTGTAAAGTACAAAGAAAGCTTGATATTGAGTATGAAAACATAAGCATAACACTTGTAACTAATCACACCCATAAAACACTAGATGACACCTGAAACATCATATTGCTACTAATGGACATACAAGGCAGAAACTTGTTTCCAAAATACTGTAACACAGATGAGTAATATTAGTATAAATTCTTTATTTACATTAAGATCTGTTTCAGTTTGCTGGTGTGACCAAACCTTAGAAAGTAATCCCAAAGGATCAAGCAGAACATAAGAGCAGATATTTAGATATTATTACAGGTTCAATTTGATGCAATCATAAAAACCTTCAAGATTTCTAGTCACTGAAACCATTGTAGGTAGTGTTCTGGAGTCTGCTAAAAGTAAATATTCAACGACTAGATGTTTTCCTTACCATCTACACTGAATGGATATACCATGAATATAGACACATTTTAAGTAGAAGACTGACATTTTAAATCATGCTATTTGATTTTATAAAAAATCATAATAGACCCTCTCACCTTTAAAAGTCGTAGAGGAGCTTTGTAATAAATTCTTAAATATACTAATTTCTGTGATGTCTAGCAATTGAATAATTTAAACTTGAAAGAACTAAAATATTGCTAATAACCATCTGCTTTATATTACACAAGGAAATATACACATATATACACAAAAAGTGAACTCCCTTCACAAATAAGTTCACAAAGGACTAGGTATAATGTGACTGGACATTCAACAACTAGGCTAGCTGGTTGAAATCACATTTTCAGTCCTCTGTAATTGTGAAATTTTTTCGTGTAGATTCCTTATTGAAGATAAATTGTGTTATAAATTCTATACTCAAGTTACTGAACATGAGTTAGGTTTTTCCATGTGATCTAACTTTTCCCTCTATAAATCTATAAACCCCAAAATAACATTTTCTGTCAGAGATCATCTGTAACATAAGTCTTCCTGTATACTGAACAAAAAACTTCTAAATTGCCTACAATTCACCATTTAATCCAAACAAGTTTAACAAGAAGAAATTTATACTGTTAGTCCCCAGTGGTCATATATGATTAAACATTTTTTGTAAACTCCACTATATTCACACATCAAGAGTTGACCCAGTGAGCTCAGTCTTTAAAAAAGTACACCTGTTGAAAGAAAGTCTTTTGGTGCTCACTTCAGCAGCACATATACTAAAATTGGAATAATGCAGGTAAAATTAGCATGGACCCTGTGCAAGGATGACACACAAATTCATGAAGCATTCCATGTTTAATTTGAAAAGAAAATGTTTTAAACCCAAGCAAAAATAAAATATCTAAAAGTGTTGTTTTTAACCTAAGAAATGACAACTGTAAGGGTTAAGAATTTACTGAATCTTAACAGGACATTTCCTTTTATGATATTGACAGGAATTTCTCATAAAATGTATAAAACAGCATAAATGTTTGGTAGATTCACTAATACTTTTGTTTTTTTTACTTAATATTAGTGTTTGTTGAAGAAAATGGCCAAAGTGCTTTAATTTTCATTTAGAATGAAATAATCTGGCTTACCGCTGACCAATAAAGAAAATATAGGGTAATACAAGTGTTCAAAATCTAACACAAATAGGAGGGTTTACTATTTTGACTGCTAAAAGATTTTAAATTAACTAATTAGATTGAAAATTAGTTAATTTAAAATCCCAAAATCTCAAATCCCCAATATCCCAAAACAAAATTTGCTGACGTGACATCAGCTTACTATATATAAAGTGAATAAACTTTCAACATCAATCCTTAGCTACCTCAAATAATGACAAAGTCATGTTTCTTTCACATAAGGATCAAGATCAAGCTATTTTTAAAACAATCTAAATGGTCTCAAAATATTCTCCAACTTAGTGCAAATGTGAGTACATGTAATATTTCCAAAGAGTAGAATTGTTCTGAGATTATCTTTGGATTCTAAGAGGAACCATTTTGTTCATTTTTTAATAAATTACTATACAAAAACTAACAGTTCAGGGATTTTTTTTCAAATTTTCCCAGGCCTTTGCTATGATAACACAACATATACTTAATAGGCTAGTGTGCAACCAGTACTCAGAACAAATCGAAGGATGACTGAAGCCTCCAATCTGATTTCTGGTTGAAGCCCTTGTAACTATAGCTCCCCAGGGCAGTTTTACTCCTGCCATATAGGTCTAATATTGTGGGGTGTACCTCCAAACCTACCCAAAAATGGACATCAAGGGCATAAGCCGGCAGGCAGGAAACTCTGTTGATTGGAGAATCACTCCATGAGTTGGAAAGACGTGGATGAACACTATGGGAAATATAAATAAGACTGCAGAATTAGGGAGGTGGCAAGATTTTAAAGAGATGCCTCAGGAAGAAGCCTCACATTTCTGAAATATACATATTAACTGAGTGGGGATAAAAGTAAAATCTCCAGCTTAATCTTGATCAGGCCAGAAGTCAAAATTAAACTATGTCCCTAAATTATATTAGTTGGGATTTTTACCTAATTAAAGGTGAAACTGGAGTCTAAACTTCTAGGCATCTGCACATATGCAGACAGAAGAAAACTATAGCAAACCTATACTTCAAATGAAATTTTAAATTTTATTAGTCCCCACATGCCACAGTTAAATCCCTGACGATACTGTTAACATCAGATGATAGAATGAATCAGAAACAGTTTACGTATACCTTTCCAAAGATACTGAAATCAAAGGGAAAAAACTAGAGGCCAAAACCAAAGTATCTTCATGAACCTTTGACCAGAGTTTGTTTTTGTGCTCTTGTTTACTTGAAGTTATATTTATTATAATTTACTGACACTCGTTTAGGCATGCCAACATTTTTTAAAATGGTGATTAGTTTTGAAATTTAAAACTTCTAGAACCCTCACCAAGTTTTACTTTATTAAAACCTTTAGTATAAAAGATTTTTGTGATCCTTTTAAGTAAAGGAAATGCTGCTACTTTCAGTTTTTTAATTACATTTTTGAAATAATGGTCAGATATACCACCTGATAAAATATAATATGATCTGGTTTCCCAAAATTGAAACATGATTAACAAAAATAAAAAAATTGGATTTACCAAAAATAGCCTGAAAAATTAAAAGGAATGGTGAATTCTATGTTCTAAAGGGAAGCAAAAAACTGCATAGTAAGTAAGTTCAAATTGAAATTTTGGAAACTTTTGTGCTGTACCCCATGCTGTTTATTAATTACCATATTTTAAAAACAACAATTATGTTACAAAGAAGATGGTTTATCATCTGCATTTCTTTTTCCTTCAGGTCAACTTAGTTTTCTTCTTAGCAGGTCCTTTATGCCCTTTGGCCTTTCTTCTTAAATTCCTCCTGTCTACCACAGGCACTTCAACTTCTATTTCCTCTGAGCTGCTATCCACAGCTTTTTCTGCTGATTGTGTAAACTGATCCAGTTGCTCAGAAGATGCTTCAGACTGCTCCTCTGACTGGTTCTTTTGTCCTGCATTCTGTGCAAATGGCACATCTTCAAGTTCAACCTCTATCAAGGAACTCTGAGGAACAGCAGTAGATGTTTCCTGGGGCTCAGATACCCCCTCCTCACCCTGGTCTTCCAATGAGGAAGTAGTGTTGGGAGATAAATTCTCAGAGACTGGTTCTTCAGAAAATTCAGCTATCACAGAGTTTGGAAAACCACCATCAGATCGTTCTTCATTTGACATAGTAGCAACACTGTCTGAACTCCCAAGATGTGCTTTCTTTCTTGGAAGTGGGGACAGTTTCTCTTCTCTGTGCCCCTTTTCATCAGAGGTACCTTCATCCATCATTTCTGAGTCAGCTGTATGTGGGGTCTGAAAATTTAAAAGCCTGGTCAGCAAATAAACTTGTAATATAGTTCTAAAAATAAATTATTCTGAGGCACTAATATGCAATGACACTGAACTACAATTTAAACAATTCAGTATTCACTACTTTTGTTAATTGTGTACGTTTTAAAAAATTTCTCTCTTCTGCTAAATGTGTATATATTCTGAATACAACTCAATTTCTTCAAAATTGTGTCACATGGTAATTTTAATATACTAAGTTCTTACTTTGAGGATATAATGAATTATTTTGTTATTTAAGACACTTTAAACTTCATATGAAGATTCTTCAAAACTATGAATCAGCTCAGGTTTTTGAGTTTCCTGATGTTACAGGAGCCAGAACCGAAAATCCCTTGGGACTTGACACTGTGCCACCCCACTAAGTTTGACAATGATTTCATTAGATTGTAAGTTAGGGCAATGGAAGTTTTATTCATTTACTTAGGTGAGACACAAATAATATACAATAGTTTTTTAGCCATAAATTTAATATTCAAAAGTAACTAAATTTATTTTAAAATACTCCAACAAGTTTTTTCCGCCCACCAACCTAATCTGCCTACCTAATTAAAACAAATTTAAATTGCTGTTTTGGTCATAGACTATGTAAGTAGTAGATACTCAAATATTTGGTCAATAATGCTTTATCCACTTTTCTCAGTATTTCCTAAGTACAAAGTATTAAAAGTAATAAAACTCATTTTGTTACCATGTATCAGATATGTTATAATTATTTAGATTTATTGAAAATTACTGATAGCATTTTATTACAATATTAAATCTAGTATAAAAGTTAATCTTCCTAAAGCATTGTACATGTTAAGGTGGAAGCAAATACCATATACCATGCACCCTCCCCTGTAATGTCACCAACATTGATATACTTTATTAAAAAATAGCTCATTGCCCCCTTACCTTATCTGATGCATCTGCTTCAGGGACTTTTGAAGATTCTACCACCAGTGGAATAAGATTTGTGGAGTCTTCACTGGAATTAAAAGACTGCAATTTTAATTCTTCATCTAAAACCTCACTAGTGGAGTCTTCCTCTTCTGTTATAACTGAGGTTTTAAGAGAATCATCCATTATCTCACCATTCATAGGCTCTAATTCAGATTCCTGCACCATTAGGAAAGGAGAAAAAAGGACATGATTACAAACTAATTTATTTGTCATGCATGATGGATCCCTTCTCAGTGCCTACCTATCCTACACCCAGGAAACATCTACTGCTGTTCCTCAGAGTTCCTTGATAGAGGTTGAACTTGAAGATGTGCAAATTATTATTGCTGGGTGTATCTGTAAGGGTGTTGCCAAAGGAGATTAACATTTGAGTCAGTGGACTGGGAGAGGCAGATCCACCCTCAATCCAACTGGGCACCATCTAATCAGCTGCCAGCATGGCCAGAATAAAAAGCAGGCAGACAAACACGGAGAGATGAGACTGGCTTCGCCTCCCAGCCATCTTTCTCCCATGCTGAATGCTTCCTGCCCTTTAACATCAGATTCCAGGTTCTTCAGCTTTGGGACTCGGACTAGCTTCCTTGCTCCTCAGCTTGCAGACAGCCTATTGTGGGACACCTTGTGATGGTGTAAGTTGATACTCCTTAATAAACTCCCCTTTATATATACACCCATCCTATTAGTTCTGTCCCTCTAGAAAACCCTAACAGATTTTGGTGCCAGAAATGGTTCTAAAGGAACCAAGTATTAAGGGTGGAGTTTTTTCTTAGATTTTGGAGTGTCTGGAATTGGCTCCTTAATATGATCAGACCCCAGAATGCTAAGGACTCTACTTCTAATAGTATGGAGAACACTGATAGTCCTTGGCATGAACTGTTTTAGCTATGAAAAATAAGTGCATTTGACACTCCTGATTCACCACTTGTGAGAGGGAAGTAGTTTGGTGACTATACATAATACCTTTGACCAGATGTGGAGAACTAAGGAACATAATGAAGTTAGTTGGTTGCTCCTAAGTTCACTGGACAAAGTGATGAAAGAAAAGGATGAACTCAGGGACTCTAACTCCCAGCTTCAAAAGCAGATACTTCAAAAGCCCTGAGTCTTACCTCCTATAGACAAAGAGTTGAAATGTGGAAAATCAGACACAACCTCTCATCATGTGAGTGGCTGACCTGCAGCCTGTTACTAGGCTTTAGTGGAAACCAAACATTTGACTATGGGTTATCAAGTCACCATATGACCTGAACTGCCTATCATGAACTGGGTGTTTTCTGACCCGTCTGTGGGTCATGCACAACAACATTCTATCATCAAATTCAAGTGGTATATATGTGATCAGGCTTGAGCAGGTCCTGAAGTCACAAGTAAGTTACATGAGGAAGTGGCTCAAATGTCCATAGTCTCCACTCCACCCTGGCTTCTCTTCCACAGCCTGCACCAATTGCCTCATGGGGCATTCCCTATGATCAGCTGACAGAGGTAGAGAAGACTAGGGAGGACCTGGTTCACAGATGGTTCTGCACAATATGCAGGCACCACCCAAAATGAATCTGCAGCACTACAGCTCCTTTCTAGGACATCCCTGAAGGACAGCAGTGAAGATTAATCTTCCCAGTGGGCAGAACTTCAAGCAGCGCACCTGATTGTGCTTTTGCATAGAAGGAGAAATGGCAAGAGTGTGATTACATACTGATTCATGGGCTGTAGCGAATGGTTTACAATGATGGTCAGGGACCTGAAAGAAACATGATTGGAAAATTGGTGACAAAAAAAATTTGGGGAAGAGGTATGTAGATGGACCTCTCTGAGTGGTAAAAAAACTGAAGACATTTGTATCCCATGTGAGTGCTCACCAAAGGGTGATGTCAGCAGAGGAGGATTTTAATAATCAAGTGGATAGGATGACTTGTTCTGTGGATACCACTCGGCCTCCTTCCCCAGCCACCCCTGTCATCACCCAGTGGGTCCATGAACAAACTGGCCATGATGGCAGGGATGGAGATTACGCATGAGCTCAGCAACAAGAACTTCCAATCACCAAGACTGACCTGGCTACGGCCACTGCTGAGTGCTCAATGTGCCAGCAGCAGAGACCAACACTAAGCCCTGATATGATACCAGTCCTCAAGGTGATCAGCCAGCTACCTGGTGGCAGGTTGATTATACTGGACCTCTTCCATCATGGAAAGAGCATAGATTTGTCCTCACTAGAATAAACACTTACTCTGGATATGGGTTTGCCTATCCTACATACAATGCTTCTGCCAAGACTACCATCCGTGGACTCATGGAATGCCTTATCCATCATCACAGTATTCCACACAGCATTGCCTCTGATTAAGGCACTCACTTTACAGCTAAAGAAGTTCAGCAGAGGGCTCATGCTCCTGGAATTCACTAGTGTTACCATATTCCTCCATCATCCTGAAGCAGCTGGATTGATAGAATGGTGGAATGGCCTTTTGAAGTCAGAATCACAATGCCAACTAGGTGACAACACTTTGCAGGGCTGGGGCAGAGTTCTCCAGAAGGCCATGGATCTCAAAATCAGATCTAATATATGGTACTGTTTCTCCCATAGCATATATTGGTCCAGGAATCAAGGGGTGAAAGTGTAAGTGGCACCACTCACCATCACCCCTAGTGATGCACTAGCAAAATTTTTGCTTCCTGTCCTCACATTACGTTCTGCTGGCCTAGAGGTCTTAGTTCCAGAGAGGAATGCTGCCACCAGGAGACACAACAACGATTCCATTTAACTGGAAGATTGTCACCTGGACACTTTGGGCCCCTCCTACCTTTAAGTCAACAGGCTAAGGAGGGAGTTACAGTGTTGCCTGGAGTGATGACTGTTGCCCACCCTGTCACACTCTCACAAGCCTGAAGGGCAGCATATGTAGCTGCTAATTGCTTCACTATCACTGTGAGTGACTGACCGGGACTATCAAGATGAAATCAGTCTACTACTCCACAATGGAGGTAAGGAAGAATATGTGTGGAATATAGGAAATCCCTTGGGGCATCTTTTAGTATTACCATGACCTATGATTAAGGTCAATGAGAAACTAGAACAGCCCAATCCAGGCAGGACTACAAATGGCCCAGACCCTTCAGGAATGAAGCTTTGGGTTACCCCACTAGGAAAAAAACAGGACCTGTTGAGGTGCTTGCTAAAGGCAAAGGGAATATAGAATGGGTAGCAGAAGAAGGTGGTCATCAATACCAGCTTCGACCACTTGACCAGCTACAGAAATGAGGACTGTAATTGTCATGAGCATTTCTTCCTTATTTTGTTAAGAACATGTTTGTGCATATATACACTTGTACTAAGAAAATATCTTCATTTTATTTCCCTTTTCCTTTATCATGTGACATAAGATTTATTGACTTCATATCAGCATAAGTTAACTTTATGGAATAGCATTTGTGTTGGGGGTTTCCAGTTGTACAAAGGACAGCTGTATTATGTTAGGTGTAATTATGACCTTACTATTGTCTTTATTTGAAGATTATGTATGATCTCAGGAAAGGTGTATGGGTTCAAGCTGACAAGGGGTAGACTTGTGATGGTTAATACTGAGTGACAACTTGATTGGATGGAAGGATGCAAAGTATCATTCCTGGGTGTATCTGTAAGGGTGCTACCAAAGGAGATTAACATTTGAGTCAGTGAACTGGAAGAGGCAGACCCACCCTCAATCCAGGTGGGCACCATCTAATCAGCTGCCAGCATGGCCAGAATAAAAATCAGGCAGAAGAACGTGGAAAGATTAGACTGGCTTAGACTCCCAGCCTACATCTTCCTCCCAGGCTGGCTGCTTCCTTCCCTCAAACATTGGACTCCAGGTTCTTTAGCTTTGGGACTTGGACTGACCTCCTTGCTCCTCACCTTGCAGATGGCCTACTGTGAGACTCTGTGATCATGAGTTAATACTCCTTAATAAACTCCCTTTATATATATATCTATCTTATTAGTTCTGTCCCTCTAGAGAACCCTAATATGCTAATTATCAAGGAAATGCAAATTAAAACTAAAATTCGATACCACCTTACTCCTGTTAAGTATGGCCACAATAAAAAAATAATAGATTCTGGAGTGGATATAATGAAAAGGGAACACTTTTACACTATGGTGGGAATATGTAAACTTGTACAACCACTATGGAAAACTGTGGAGATTCCATAAAGAACTAAAAGTAGAACTACCATTTGATCCAGCAATCCCACTACTGGCTATCTACCCAGAGAAAAAGAAGTAATTATATGAAAAAGACACTTGTACATGCATGTTTATAGCAATACAATTTGCAATAGCAAAAATATGGAACTAGGCTACATGCCCATCAACCAATGATGCATAAAGAAAATGTGGTATATATAGACCATGGAATACTACACTCAGCCATAAAAATGAATGAAAGAATGAAATTCACAGCAACCTGGATGGAGTTGGAGACCATTATTCTAAGTGAAGTAATTCAGGAATGGAAAACCAAATATTGTATGTTCTCACTCACAAGTGGGAGCTAAGCTATGAGGATGCAAAGGCATAAGAGTGATATAATGGATTTTGGGGATTAGGGGGAAAGGGTAGGAGGGGGTGAGGAATAAAAGACTACACATTAGGTACAGTGTACACTGCATGGATGATGGGTGCACCAAAATCTCAGAAATTACCACGAATGAATTTATCCATGCAACCAAACACCCATCTGCTTCCCAAAAACTACTGAAATATTACAAAAATAAATATAAAAATATCGTTTCATGAGACTGGGTACAGTGGCTCATGCCTGTAATCCCAGCACTTTGGGAGGCCAAGGTGGGCAGATCAGGAATTCAAGACCAGCCTGGCAAACATGGTAAAACCCCATCTCCACTTTTTTTTTTCTTGTCAACTCTTAGAATATGCTTAAGTTACTAAAACCCCATATCTACTTAAAAAAAAAAAAAAAAAAAAAAACTAGCCAGGCATGTTGGTGCACCTGTAATCCTGGCTACTTGAGAGGCTGAGGCAGGAGAATCCCTTAAACCCAGGAGGCAGAGGCTGCAGTGAGCTGAGATCACGTATATTATTTCATGAAACAGAGGAAGCAGGAGCTAAATCAAAGTGATTTAAGAAAACAAAATTGGCTGGGTGCGGTGGTTCTCTCCTGTAATCCCAGCACTGTGGGAGGCTGAAGTAGGCAGATCACCTGAGGTCAGGAGTTCAAGACCAGCCTGGCCAAAGTGGTAAAACCCTCTCTCTACTAAAAATACAAAAATTAGCTGGGGGTGGTGGGGGGCACCTGTAATCCCAGCTACTAGGGAGACTGAGGCAGGAGAAGTGCTTGAAACTAGGAAGCAGAGGTTGCAGTGAAACAAGATTATGCCACTGCACCCTAGCCTGGGCAAAAAGGGCAAAACTCTGTCTCAAAAAAAGAAAATAAAATTGATAACATAGTTTCACTTATTCACCTGCCTACAGCTAAAAGATTTTTCAAGAAACTTAAGTACATATGAAAGAAGAAATAGGGAATCTGTGGAAAGGAAAAGATTGAAGATATTAAAGGAAAAAGAAATGGAAAAGGATAGAGGGAAGAAAAAAGAAAATAGCAATAAATATCTTAAAGTTGCAGAAATCAACCCAGATGAAGAGTTTACTTATTTACCAAGGGTTTATATATATATATATATATAAATTTATATATATAAATTTTTTTTCCAGTGTTCAAAAAAATGAATTTAGTTATTTTTCCAGAATTTTGTGAGGTCAATAGTGATCAAATATTTTTTTTCCAGATTACTAATTCCTGCCCCTCTAACTAAAATGCGGGTGCAATTGAAGGTTTATTGGACTGGTTCTATAAGGTAGATCATATCATTTGTGTACTTAAGTGTGTTTAATTCCACAAATAAATTTATATTTTAAATGCACTGAAGGATCTTACTAAACATTCCTATTTTATCTTCTATATAACTCAAACTTTTATAAACTCAAACTTCATTATAACTCAAACTTTTTAAAACTCAGTTACACTTGTAATTTTATCCTCTCCCCAACTTTAGTACCTGACCTTGCTTTTTTTTTTTTTTTTGAGACGGAGTTTCACTGTTGTTACCCAGGCTGGAGTACAATGGCGCGATCTCGGCTCACCGCAACCTCCGCCTCCTGGGTTCAGGCAATTCTCCTGCCTCAGCCTCCCAAGTAGCTGGGATTACAGGCATGCGCCACCATGCCCAGCTAATTTTTTGTATTTTTAGTAGAGACGGGGTTTCACCATGTTGACCAGGATGGTCTCGATCTGTTGACCTCGTGATCCACCCGTCTCAGCCTCCCAAAGTGCTGGGATTACAGGCTTGAGCCACCGCGCCCGACCCTGACCTTGCTTTTTAACACTAAACACAATTTCTAAGGCTCTAAATATATCATTTTATTTTTCTAACAATATATGATTAAGAAAGTTAAAATTCTGTTTACTTATTTTCACTTTATTGAATAAGTGATCTCATACCTTTTCGCCATCTTGCTTCTCTTGCTGTGGCTGGGTTTCTGGTGCTGGCCATGCATCTTTATCACTGCTTTCATCCTCAAATTCAATCCCTCTCTGTTCGGATTCTTCTTCCAGAAATTCTTCTGGGCTGTCTGAGGTGCGCACAGTAGACTCCAATCTAAAAAACAAAAGAAGACCATTCTCACTTGTTTTACTAAGGATAAATATAAAATCTCAAAAGTCCTTTCTTAACAAACTAACAGTTTAGAGAATCAACTATATGTTGACTACAACTTCAGATTTTACAAGTCTAAAACCAATCTCTTCATCCTCTTATAATATTACCATCTTCTCAATTATGTAAACTAGACCCTTCTTTTATTCTATCTATAATTTATTGGATCTTATCTTTTTTTTTTAATCTAATTTACACTGAAGGACCATGAACCTTATTCTATTAGAATGAACATATATCCCAATTTGCCAGGGGCAGTGGTAGTTTACAGACTTTTGTCCATAATTGTGGATACTGGCATAATTATTAATGATGCTCCTTTCATTCTCAAAAACGTCACCTTGGACAACACATTATTTGGTTTAGTTCTAACTCCAAAAATGCCTTTCAAATATATTCCTGACTTTCCATACCCATTTTCACAGCTCTGCTTCAGGCCCTCTGGACCACTGTAACTTCTTCCCAATTCATCTTCAGACTTAGAGGAGTACATCTTCATCAAGGCTTTCAGAGCTGTCTTTCTAATATATATTATCTGCATCTGTGACAGCCCAATTCAGAAACTTCTTGGTGTTTCTCTAAGCTTAGTGAATAAAGTGTACCTTCTTTGAAGGCCTAACATAACTAGACCCTTATATATATTTTTTGTTTGTTTTTGAGACAGGATCTCCCCCTGTCACCCAAGATGGAGTACAGTGGCATGATCTCAGTTCACTGCAACCTCTGCTCCCGGGTTCAAGCAATTCTGCCTCAGCCTCTCAAGTAGCTGGGATTACAGACGTGTGCCACCACACCCAGGTAATTTTTGTATATTTAGTAGAGACAGGGTTTTGACATGTTGGCTCAGGCTTGTTTTGAACTCCTCACCGATCCACTTGCCTCAGCTTCCCAAAGTGCTGGGGATTACAGGCATAAGCCACTGGGCCCAGCCTAGACCCTTACGATTTTATTTACCTTATTTATCAGTCATCTTTAGCAACATTCCACCTAGCTTTGTGCCTGTGCTTATGTTAGTGCTTTAGTCTAGATAAAATAGCCATGAGACATACTTCATTATTTTACATTTAAATTAAAATTAAATGAAATAATTCAGTTCTTCATTTGCACTAGCCATACTTCAAGTGTTCCATGGGCACACTGGCTAATGGCTACATACTGGGCAGCACAAGTACAAAACATTTCCATCATTGCAGAAAGTTATTTCACATCCTTGCTGTAGATAAGGGGTCAGCAAACCTTTCCTTTAGGCATTGTGGACCATATGGTCTCTGTTCTAACCACTCAACTCTGCCACTGCAATGCACAAAAGTAAAAATATATAAGCTTAATAATATATAAAAAATATATAAGCTTACTAAACAATAATTTAAAATATATCAGCTTAATGAGCATGGATGTCTTACAATAAAATTTTATTCACAAAAACAGGTAGCAGGCCAGATTTGGCCTGCAGGCCACAGTCATGGATCCTTTCACTAGAAGGTCTTCTTTTCTCCCAACTCTGCTTGTTGAGTTTCTACTAATCTTTGAAGCCCAGACCCAAATGCCAAATCTCTCCATCCCCTCAATTAGAATCAAACACTCTTTCCCCTGTATCCACAGCATTCTGCACTTCCCATTATTGTACTGTCACAATCCACCTCACAGTGCTTTTAACTGTGTATATCTCTCTTTACCCCAAGTCACTCAATCCTTTGAGAGCAAAGACCATGTTTTGTTCCTTGTGTCTGAGGAAACATTCAAGCATTAAGTCCTACTGTTGTATTTATGAAAAGCAAACAAAATCCCACAATAATTCTAGAAGGTTCAATTTAAAATATATTGCTACCCTTCTAAAAAGGGTACTATATCAAAATATTGTTCAGTGAGAAAACTATTTTTCTAAACTCATTTTTTAATTACTAGATTTAAATACTTTCTAATATCTATCTTTAACATTACAAATTTTTCACCAAAATATTTATATACTTAATTACCCAAATTTTAAATTATTTGTATAATGAGATTAGCATAGCTACAGAATTCTCTACTTGACTAAAATTATTGGACAGTTAAAATAGCAAAGTTATGAATTAACTAAATGGTTGACTCAGGAACAGCTGGCTGAACTGTAGAGCAAAAATCTAAAGTCTTGATTTAAGATGCAAAGAAAGACAAAGAATAAAGTTGAGCCTCAAGTGTTCCATTGATTCAGTTGGCAACTAAATTCCTGGAGGAACTGACTGTACAATTTATGGTTTATCACTAATTTATAAATTATATCCAATAGCTCAATAAAGTAAAATTGTGGGTATTTTAAAACTGACTAGAGCCAGTTCACATTGACTGCCCACAATCTGTAAATCCTCCACTCCAAGCCTGCCTGGACTTCCTCGACCCTAGCTTTTTCTCCTTTGTAAACACTAAGAATAATGTGTCAGTGCCTCAGTTTTTACTAGAGCCAGTCATCCATCATACCTGGAACAGCGATAATACCCAGATTGCCCTCAGTCCTAATAATCATGAAATGCACATCTGAAAGAACGGAGCCAGCGGGTGAAAGCTCATGAACTCAAGGAGCACAATGGACACATCACAGATATTGATTCGGCTCCCAAGAGCAACCGATTCGTCACTTGTTGGGCAGATCACAATACCTATCTATGTCTGGAGACAGAAAGATGGTGTCTGGAAGCCAACCCTATCCTGAGAATTACACAGCTACTTTTGTGAAGTGGTCCCCCCTAGAGAACAAATCTGCTGTGAGAAGTGGAGCATGACTCATTTCTGTTTGTTACTTTGAGTCTGAAAATGACTGGTGAGTGAGCAAGCACATTAAAAAGTTGATTCGCTCCACAGTCCTCAGCTTGGATTGGCATCCCAATGTATTGCTGGCAGCAGGATCATGTGACTTCAAATGCAGTGTTTTCTGCTTACATTAAAGAAGTGGATGAAAAGCCAGCCAGCACATCCTGGGGCAGCAAGATGTCTTTTGGGAAGCTGATGTCAGAGTTTGGTGGCAGTGGCTCTGGTGGCTGGGTCCACGGGGTCAGCTTCTCTGCCAGTGGGAGCCACCTTGGGTCAGCCATGATAGCACCATGTCTGTTGCTGATGCCTCAAAAATATGCAGGTCTCAACTCTGATGATGGAGTTTCTGCCCCTTCTTAGTGTGTCATTTGCCTCAGAGGCTGCTGGCCATGACTGCTGCCCAGTGCTCTTTAGCTATGATGACTGTGCTACCTGATCTTTGTCTCCAAGTTAGATATTCCAAAACAGACCATCCAATGCGACATATCTGCCATGGAATGCTTCCACAACATGGACAAGAGGGCCACAAATGAGGACCACAACACGATCTTGGAGATACTGCACCAGAATAGCATCACTCAAGTCTCTATGAAGTGGACAAGCAAGGTGTGTTGCAAATTTTGTAGTGCTGGCATTGATAGAGCCATGACAATTTGAGGTTTCAAGGGCCTCCAGATAATGTGAAGCTGAGTGACCTTCCACCATCCAGTGTGACAAACTGTGGCTGACCACAGCTGTGCCGTGGAAGCCAGCCCCAAGAAAACACTGAAAACATGTATCACACCAATACCATGTGGTTTTGTTTGAATATAAACTTGGTGAAAGTGTTGATTTTTTAAAAGCAGTTTTTTGTTTATTTGTTTGCTTGTGGTTTCATTCCATTATTGACCAAAGCTTTTCTTTAAGTAGTTTATTATGGAAAATTGTCACACTAACTTAAAAGATAGGGTAAGGAAGATTATATAAATTGTCCACTAGAAAATTAAATAAAAGAACTGAATGTGGAATAAAAAAAACTGACTAAATCTCAGCATTACTTAAAACTATGCCATCAAATTCAGCATTGGTGATAATGACTCATTTAGGATAATATAATCACTGGACTATTCTCCTAGATTTTCACACATGAAGGGAGTTTATGCCAGTCTCTTACTAGCAACTTCTCCCAATAACATTGTCAAGATAACACTTATCGCTGATAAACAACTAATAATCTTTATAAGAATTCAAATTAAAAAAGAAGAAAAAAGAATTCAAATATAAATAATTCAAATACAAACTCCTATACCAAAGTCATCTGCTATACAAACAAAATAAACAGCTTCTACCTTAAATGTTAAATACTAATATGAAAGTACAAATAAACAAAAAATGAGAGTAAAATAAATAATTCTTTACTTGTTTATTGAAGCTGTAGATGAAGTCTGGGAAGCCTTTTCATCTTCTCCTTGAGAACTGCTAAATTCAGAATCCTGAAACCGCTTTCCAATCTTCGGCCGCTTTAGATTACTACTTCGAGTACGAGTGGAAACAAATGTTTTATCATGACCTGACGAGGAAAATAGCAAAACTGCACTTAGTTGATTACATATTAAAAGGACTACCTATTAAAATACACAGAAATGCAAGAACTATACTAGTTTACACATATACCCCACATTACACAGGTTTGCCCTCCCCTCACTTGGGTCAGGCTAAGAAATTTTACAATTTACATCTTTTTCTAAAATATATAATAACTTTGTCAAGTTATATGAATTGTATAATTCATTCCTCACATTTCCATGTTATCTTGGGCTCTGCAAAGTGTTTTTGCATTTCACTTACATTCTCTCCCAATAATCTTGGAAAATAAACAACACAGACATTACCATCCCTATTTTATAGCTAAGGAAACGAGGAAGGGAGAGGTACAATAGCTTACTCAGTGTTCACATAGCAAAATCAGTGACAGTAGTGGCGTGAGAACCCACATCTGGATTCTAGAGCTGAAAAAGTCTTCACTTAGGGTGACACACCACACACACATGCATGCATGCACACGTACACAGCTCTAATTTGAAGTCTCAAATACTGAAATATCAGTTGAATTTCTTACCTTCAGAAGTGCTTGCAAAGGCATCTTTTAAAGAATCAATCTAAAAAAGAGACAGATTTAAACCTAAAGTTGTAGACTATTTTTTCTTCCTGTGGATCTATTTCTAGTTTCAAAAAAAAAAAAACTTATAAAATATTTTTCAAATAGCACTTTTTGTTAAGAACATTTACTTTAAAAATAAAAAGGTTATAGTTCAGCTTCAATTTATAAGACTGAGAACATATGCAAGTCATCTAATATGTCATAGTGTGTCCACTGGTTTCCTAGTTCTGTCCTCAGCTACCTTCTCTGCTCAATCCACATGCTTTCCTTACTTCAGCATCTGCTTACCAATGAATTCAAATATGCAACATAGGCCTGCAAAGTTTCTTCCTGATTTCCAAAGTTCTATTTTCAATGAAATATCTCCCAATGGATGTCCCATCCAATTTCACACTCAATCATTCCTAAAATGAACTTTATCTTTCCCCAATAATTCCCCATCTTGCTTAGTGACAATTTAGTCAGTCACTCTAGCCAGAAAACAGTGAGGCAGTAAAGACTTCTTCCTATCCCACATTTAATCAATCACAAAGTCTTTCCATTTTAACTGAAGAACCTCTCACAACTGCCCAATCCTTTGTATTAACATTGGTTTAGTTTATGCCTTTACTCTCTTGAACCTCAACTATTCTAACAGCCTCCTTACTAGAATCCCTCGCTCTAATCACATCCCATCTAAACCCCTTCATCCTGATGACAAAGTGATACTTTCAAATCACAAATTATACTATTTCTTTGCTTAAAAAAAAGGAAAAAAAACCTTTAATAGCCAACCACTGCTTAGAATACAAATTCTCAACATATGCAAAAGACCAAGTATCTCTTTCATGTCAAACATGCCATTTTCTTTCACACTTCTGTAATTTTTTTCATGGTATCCTCTGGAATGCCCTAACAACCCATGTCACAGAACTCCCACCCACCTTTAAAAGTCAACCTCTCCTATGTACCTCCAATCACTTACTATAATAAGTAAAGCAATTTTTATGCTGTAGTATTTAATTCTGTGTTTCCAACAAAGGAACATCTAGTTCTCCCATGTCTAAGAACCATATCTTTATATGTCCAGTGCTTGCCACAGTAACTACTTTATTCATCCATTACATGCTTACTAAAACTCCACAATATAGTAGACACACAGCCTTCAATTTATGGAACAAAAGCAAGGGAGCAACTGTGACAAATGATATGACAAAAATCTTGCTTCAAGAAACGTGTAGTCCAATAAGAAAAGGTTAAAATGTAAAGATAGATAAATAAAAGGCACAAAAAGTATCCTAAGAGAAATATATGTTAATGTTTTATATATAAAAATAGGAAAAAAATACAGCTGGGTGCAGTGGCTCACACCTATGATTCCAGCACTTTGGGAGGCCAAGGCAGGTGAATCACGAGGTCAGGAGTTCAAGACCAGCCTGGCCAACATGGTGAAACCCTGTCTCTACAAAAAATACAAAAAAAAAGTAAAAAATAGATAACAATACCATCATCACCTAAAGAATAAATCATGTAGTTGAAATAAACAAAACTGTTTGTGGTTACTGATAAAAAGAGATATAACACAAATAGTTTAATATGATAAATATTTTCCTTCAACTATTTAAAACATTAAAGTAATATGAAGAATAGAATTTCTAAAGTCTTAATTAGGTTAGATTCTAAAATCAAATTTATGCTGTCAGCTGTGACATTGTACCATTGTAATATATTCTCACTCAAATGACAAATCTAAAATTATTTGGATTAGTGTAAAGTAAATCATTGCTCTCATTACATTTATAGTAGAGTAGATTTTCTGCTTTCCTTGATTTTATAATAACTGGCCAATACTAAATGAATCTGTGTATATCTGAGAAATTTGGACTGAATAGAACAGGAACTATTCTCAAGTTTGAATTTCCAAATGTAGGGGGGAAAAAAACAAAAAACCAACTCCTTATATATATTTATATTATTTGTTATTCTTAAAAATGGTTACAAATTTTCTACTCAAATAGAGTCAACTCTCATGCTAATTAAGACAGAAAATAAGCACAAATAGTTCCCTAAAGCAGTTATTTATACAACATGCCTATGTATTTATATAGGCATATTCAACACTCCCTAAAAATAAACTTAGATACACCCATACAAAAATGTGACTGTAATAAATGCCATCCCCCAAAACCCTAGACTTCTAGAGTCCCAACAATGGGCCTGTATTTTAAGCAACACCAAGTACCACAAAACATTGGTTCTAGAAAAGGACCTAGTAAGTCCTGTGAAGTTTGGTAATGGGACTTGTCTTTCTACTTTCAGGATACTTAGTATTTGCAAAGTGCATTACATTCTACAAAGACCTAGCATACACAGCCTCAAACGTTACATAACAACTCCATCATCTTTCACCTACTTACTCCACTTCTGGAAACTTTTATGTTTAGAAAAGTAATTACATATGCACAAGGATTCACATATAAATGTGTTTGCTCCTGGGCCATTTAAAAATGTTAAAAATTTAAGGATTCTATGTTAAGGAAACAAATAATGGTATTTAATTAAAACAGATAATAGAATAGTGTGCTTCTATTTAACAATCATGTTTTAATAATTAAATGCCAAAGAAAATGCTTCCAATATTACATTACTGAAGGAAAGCAGTTAGAAGCAATTTAAGAGAATAAAAATATAATATATACAGATACATATTTTATAATATACAATATTAAATAAATATGCAAAAATGTTTAACAGTGGCTACATCTGAATAGTGGAATTATATATTTTTATTTTCTTCTATATTATTTTATGTTCATTCTAAATTACCTTTAATTAGCTCAATCTTTTAACATCATTAAAATTATTAAGATGCCAGGGAAACTAACACAGTAGAAATTACATAGGTTTTTTGAACTATAACATTTAAAACTCAAATATAAGCTGAATCTATATTTTAAGAACACAAAAATTATTTCCTACAGTAAACATACAGTGTACCTACAGTTAGCTGCATCTCACTAGACTGATTGTCTTCAGTTCCTGCTTCATATTCTGGAACAGATGCAGGACCATATTCTCCAGTCATAGGTCTTTTAGGTTCATTTTGAGAAACTGCTGTGTATAGAAGAATTTTAAAAACTGTAACCCAACCAGTATTTGGTTTTAACTGTAACATTGTACTGACTTTCTTAAAAGCCCTGAAGAGCAGCCTAGACAGAAGGGTCATGAAAATCTAGGTGTGAGATGTTCTCTTCACCAGTATCTTTTAATGCAACATTGCCGTTATATATAATGGTAAATAGTTACTTTAAGTATTTAGGGGTTTTGGGAAGAAGTACATGAGATTAGTGGGTACTGTGGACCCCCCAGTGCCTATTCTATGCCATTTCAGTAATCTATGTTTATTTCTTTCCCACCAATTCCTACTGAGGTGTTCTAGGTCTCATTATTACTAGGGACTCAAACATTAATATAATCACAAAAATTCAAACTTCAGACAAGAGATTCTGTTACTAGAATGATCATATTACAATACACCACTACTCTGGACTCTTAAGACACAACCATTATTAGCCACTGCTTTTTAAACTGGACTTGTGTGCCAGCAAGGATAGGCTCAAAAATAAATAAGTAAACTGAACTATGTTCAAACTGAAAACACTCCTACCTGGTATTTTAAGTGTTTCTCTCTGTAATGCTCTGGTGACTGGTATTCGCTGGTACCAGTGTCCAACACCTTCAACTTCCCAAAGGAGTTCATGATCTCCTGGATACTTCTCAAAATACTGCTTGCAAGCTGAAAAACACATTTAGAATTTTCTAGCAATCTCAAATATCCACTGTTTTGAAAATCAGAAGATGGAAAACTTCCTAATTCACTTAATGGGGCTTACATGACCTTGATACCAAAACACCACCAACACAACTCAAGTATACAGTAGTCTCATTTATAAATAAAAATTCTAAATAAAATCCCCAGACGAGTTTTAACATGACCAAACAATAAACATCCTTTAAAAATGTACTTTGCTTTTAAAGAATAAAATGATTAAATGTTACTGAGGTGTCCAACACAGAACTGAATAAAAAGACTGTCAGACTCAATAGTGTAAAAATACCAGTTCTCACCAAATTGATCTATTAATTCCATGCAATTGCAAACAAATCCCAACATAACTTATTTTTTAATAAAACTTGACAAAACTTGATCCCAAATTCCAAAATAAAAGAATAACAGGTAAGAAAATATTCAGTAAGTACAACAACTATACATCAATTTTAAAACTAAAAAAAAAAAAAGAAACAATATTCAGGTCAATTTTGAAGAAGAAAAATAAGGATAGAGATTTGTCCAAGTAAATACCAAGAATCATTATAAAACCACAGTAACTGAAACAACCTAGTACTGACATAAAGATATATAAACAGACTGTGGGGTGGAAGGGAGGAGAAGAAAAATACCAAAAAACAAACAAAAAACCCACAAATAAATAACAAAGAAACTCCACTAGGAAAGAACCACATATAAACTACAACTTGCCAAATGATGGAAAAGGAATTATATTTCAGCAAATAATGGATAAACTACTAAACTAATGGTGCTAAAATAAAAATCCTTATAAAAGGAAAAGTCAGATCCTGACCTCCTATCAACATAAATTCTAAACAAATTCTAAGACTTAATGTGAAAAACCAAATGTTTAAAAGGAAACATAGGGGAATAGGGTTCAGATGGATTCCTTACGAAAGACACATAAATCACAGTCCATGATGAAAAATTATGATCTATTAAGATTTAAAACCTAGTATATATCAGGACTGTGCAACAGAACTTTCTGGGATGACAGACGTGAACTATCATCAGCACTGTCCAATACAATAGCCACTAGCCACATGGGGCTACTTAGGAAATGAACTTCTATTTTTATTTAATATTAATTAACTCTAACATATTTAAATTAGTGACTACTGTATTGAACTGCAGTATTCTTCTACATGAAAACGATACTGGAAAGACAAAGATTAGGAGACATTTAGAGTAAAATAAAGGATTAGTACTCAGAAAATATAAAGAATTTCTAAAATGGAATTCAAAAGACAAGATTATCTCAAAGAAAAACTAGCAGAGACTATGAACAGGAAATTTACACCTTATGAAATCTGACTGGTCAATAAACAAAGATGAAGATGATAAACCTCACTAGCTGCCAAGAAAAGATAAGATAAAACAAGAAGATAAGATTTTCACACCTGTGAGATAATGACAAGCAGCAAGAATAAGGGAAATGGAAACACACACTCTGCTGGTGGGAGAATAATTTTGCAACACAAAGTTGAAGAGACACATTTTATGATCCAATTCTACTTTGAGGTATAAACCCTAATACCTTATACAGATATTCCTTGACTTACAATGGGGTTATACATTCTGTTAAACCCATCATAAATTGAAAACACCATTAAGTCAAAAATGTATTCACTACACCTAACCTACCAACCATCATAGCTTAGCCTCACTTACCTTAAATGTCTTCTGAACACTTACAGTTCAGAACACAGCCTACAACCTACAGTTGGGCAAAACCATCCAACACAAAACCTATTTTATGATAAACTGTTGAATATTTCATATACTTTATTGAAAGTACTACAGAGTACTCTACAATACTCTGTAGAGTACTGGTTGGTTGCCCTTGTGATCACCTGGCTGACCGGGAGCTGACTGGCAGCCACTGCCCAGCTTCATGAGAGAGTATCATATCATTAGCATAGGAAAAGATCAAAATTCAAATGACTGTTTCTACTAAATAAGTATCACTTTTGTACCATCATAAAATCAAAAGTCAAACCACCGTAAGTCGAGGGCCAGCTGTACAAATGCAGAAAACATTTATAATATTCATTACAGGTCTAGTTTTAATGAAGACCTAACCTAAGTGCTCAACAGTAAAGAAATATATGAATAAACTTTAATATGTATATAATAAAAATACTATACAGTATTTAAAATAAATGAGTTATGGCTACCTAAATCAACATTGATAACTCTTTTTAAAATGCTCAGTAAAAATTGGGTCAATAAATGAACAAAATGCCACCATTTATGTAAAGCTTAAAATCATATTAAACAAAGTGGAACAGCCACAATGGAAAACAGTTCCTCAAAAAGTGAAACACAAAATTACCATATAACCCACCAATTTCACCCTCAGGTATATATTCAAAAGAAATGAAAGCAGAGACTCAAATACCTGTATACCAACGTTCACTGAAGCATTATTCACAATGGTCAAAAGGTAGAAACAACACAAGTGTCCATCAATAGATGAATGGCCAAACAAAATACGATATATTCATACAAAGGAAAACTATCCAGCCATAAAAGGAATGGACTACATCATGGACCTCAAAAACATTATATTTAGTCATGTAAGCCAGACACAGAAAGACAAATATTCTACGATTCCTTTTAGATGAGGTATCTAGCATGGGCAAATTCATACAGACAGAAAGCAGAAAAGAGGTTGCCAGAAGATGGGAGTAGGGGAAACGAGGAGTTAATTGTTTAATGGGGAGAAAGTTGATGTTGTGGATGATTAAAAAGCTTTGGATATACACAGTGGTGATGGGTCCAAAACACTGTGTGAAAGAGCCACTGAACTGTTCACCTACAAATAAGGTATCATGTACAATTTTTTACCACAACAAAAAACTGTTTAAAAAATAAGAAAGCACACTAAATAATATTTTATAATGTTTACAGACATAAATATGAAACCATAAGTAGGAAAATAAACACCAACTTCAGGAGTGCAATTATCTCTGGGGAGGAAAGGAGAAAGGAGAATGATATTAGGGAAGGATTCAAAGAGAACATCGACTGTACCTTTTATTACAATCAATAAACAGTGTATTTAGTTCTCTCTTAAACTAAAATTAAAATGGCAAAATCTTAACATCTGTTCAATGTAGACTTGGTGCAGAAATTAGGCTACTAGTCTATCCATTGTTTCCCTGTATATTTGAAAATATTTTTCATATGTTCTGGGTTTAGTTTCCAAAACTAAAAGGATGGAAGAAGCTGGAGAAAACCAACACAACAGGCCACAAAACAAAACAAAAAGGCATGGCTAATAAACCAACTGTTAAGATAAAATAGAACACTGGTAAGTACTTCCAAAAGGAAAAAAAAAAGGAGAAAAAAACAAATGGGACAAATGAAGAACAGTAGGATGGGAGATTTAAACTAAATAATATCAAAACTTACTTGAAATAAATGCATATAGATTAAGGAAAAGGCCATGAGAAAGAATTAACAATATACACAAAGAACTCATATCCAAGATACATAAATAACTCGTAACTCAATAAGAAGACAAGCAATTCAATACAAACATAAGCAAAAGATATGAACAAACACCTCACTTGTTCTACCCTTTTTTAGGGCGTATGATTACCCAATAATTACATGAAGAGATACTTAAAATCTTTAGTCTTCAGGAAAATGCAAACTGAAACCACATAAGTGAGATTGCATTATCCACTTACTACTAGGGAAAGCTAAAATTAAAGAGACTGACAAAACCAAGTGTTAATGAGTATGTAGAGCAACCAGACCTTCCACACGTTACTAACAGGAATGCAAAATGACATAACTACTCTATTAGAAACTAATTTGGCAACTTCTCAAAGTTAAACACAATCATAAAAACCAGTAATGACACTCCTAGGTATTCACTCCAAGGAAATGAAAACAAATGTCCATACAAAGACATTTTCATGCACCTTTATTCATAGTAGACAAGAAAGAAAAGAAACCCAATGTCTATCAATAGGCAGATAAATAAACCATGGTATAATCAAAGTGAGAAATACTCAGCAAGGTCAGATGTGGTGGCTGACGCCTGTAACCCCAGCACTTTGGGAGACCAAGGCGGGCAGACCACCAGAGGTTGGGAGTTCCAGACCAGCCTGACCAACACAGAGAAACCCTGTCTCTACTAAAATTACAAAATTAGCCAGGCATGGTGGTGCATGCCTGTAATCCCAGCTACTCAGGAAGCTGGGGCAGGAGAATCATTTGAACCCAGGAGGCAAAGGTTGTGGTGAGCCAAGATCACACCATTGCACGCCAACCTGCACAACAACAGCAAAACTCTGTTTCAAAAAAAAAAAAGAGAGAGAAATACTCAGCAAAACAAAAGGAATGAAGTATTGAGACATGCAACATCAGTGAGCCTCAAAAATAAGATGCCAGACATAGAAGTATACACACCATATATTTTTCATGAAACTCTAGAAAAATCTAATTAGTACTGACAGAAAGCATATCAGTGCTTGCCTGGAGTGAGTTTGGAGGGGAAGGAAGCTGGGGGACTGGTACACAAAGGGAACTTTTAGAAACAAAGTATTATCTATCTAGATTGTGTCTACAGTAGCAAGGGTCCATACATTTGTCAGAAGTCATTAAAATGTACCCTTAAAATTGATGTATGTTATTGTATATGATAAATTATAACTTAATAGATATGAGCCTTTTTTTTTTTTTTTTGAAACAGGATCTCGCTCTTTCCCTGAGTCTGGAGTGGAGTGGCTCACTGCAGCCTTGAACTCCTGTACTCAAGAGATCCTCCTGCCTCAGCTTCCTAAGTAACTGAAACTACAGGCACACACTACCAGGCCTGCCTAGTTTTTTGTTTTTTTTTTTTTTTGAGACAGAGTCTTGCTCTGTCACCCAGGCTGGAGTGGAGTGGCCCAATCTTGGCTCACTGCAAACTCTCAGGCTCAAGCAAATCTCGTGACTTAGCCTTCTGAGTAGCTGGGATGACAAGCATGTGCTACCATGCCTGGCTAATTTTTGTATTTTCAACAGAGATGGGATTTCACCATGTTGGCCAGGCTGGTCTTGAACTCCTGGCCTGAAGTGATCTGCCCACCTTGGCCTCCCAAATTGCTAAGGCTTTATGCAAAGATAGAAATTAGCTGATGATCATCTGTAATTCATTTGGTATTCAATTTATTTATCACTAGAATCACAGAAGAGAGTAAGTATTAAGGGATTCTGCCTGCAGTGGATGTCTTTGCATCTCTCCTCAAATTCAGTAAAGTAGTAATTAGAGTAAAGCATTTAGGATTAACCAAGGACACATAATGCCCATCCCACTCTCAATATGGGTATAGAGAGAAAATATGATTCAAGGTGGGCATCCAATTCTGTACTTGGTTCCTGTTTTCTGGATTGCTTTTGATATTAAAGAAGGTGAGGAAGATTTGGAATAAAAATATATTTTCAGTGGAAATAAATAACTGCTGTTAGGCTGAAATCAATAGTAAATGATACTTTATAAAGTTTCTAAGGTTAATTACCATGTAGGATTAAATCTTACTTCATTGAGAAATTATATGACCTTTACACAAATTCAAAACCAAACCCACTAATGGTTTTAAATCACCACCAAGTGGTATGTCCATAAAATGGAATACGGCATTGAAAATAAATGGAACTATATGAATCCACATGGATGACTCTCACAAATATAAAGATGAGTAAAGAAAGTAAACTGCAGAAGAATTCATACAGTACATATTTATAGTTTTTAAATATGTAAAGCAACATGATATATTGTTTGAGAACATACACATATGTATTAAAAGTCAAGGAAATGTGTGAGAAACCTAAGTGCCAAGTTAAGTACAGTACTCATCCCAGAGAAGGGAGTGAATCTAATTGGGTAAGAGTACACAGAAGACTTCCACCACATTGGCAGCAAGACATTTCTCAGGGATGGTACATGCTGACATGGTAAATGAGTATTTGATACCTTCTTTTTATTTATTTATTTATTTGAGATAAGCTCTCAATGTGTTACCGAGGCTGGGGTGCAGTGGTGTTATCTTAGCTCACTACAGCTTCAACCTCCTGGGCTCAAGCAATTCTCCCACTTCAGCCCCTCAAGTATCAAGGACTACAGACACAAGCTACCACACCCAGTTAATTTTTTGTAATTTTTGTAGGGTAGGATTTTATCATGTTGCCCAAGCTGGTCTCGAACTCCTGAACTCAAGCGATCTGCCCACCTCGGGCTCCTAAAGTGCTAGCATTAAAGGCATGAGCCACTATGTCCAGCCAACACCTTACTCTTTAAACTTTATTTTAATTGAAATGAGGTCTCACTATGTTGCCCTGGCTGGTCTCAAACTCCTGGACTCAAGCAACCCTCCGACCTCAGCCTTCGGAGTAACTGAGATAACAGGCATATCCCATCATTCCCAGCTTCTTTATACTTTTTTGTAGGTCTGAAATTTATTGTTAATTTTAAAAGCTACCATAAACAAATTAATGCCCCCCACAAAATGGTCAAATGATTTAAATAGACATTTCTCCAAAGAAGGTATACAAATGACCAATAAGTACATGAAAAGACCTTCAATATCAAAGCAAAGCAAAACTATAATGAGATGCTCCTACATATCCACTAAGATGCCTGTAATAATATATATAGATAATAACAAATGGTGAAGATGTGAATGGCTGTAGTAAAAGATACAGATAATACCAAATGTTGGTGAGGATGAAAATGTGGAAAAATTATAACCTTCATATAATATTGCTTATGGGAATTTAAAATGGAGCATTACTTGTAGAACAAGTCGTGGTATAACCATACAATGGAATATTACATTACATAAAAAGAAATGAAGTACCAATTTATGCTACAACATGAATGAACCTTGAAAACATGCTAAGTGAAAGAAGCCAGACACAAAAGGCCACATGCTATATGATTCCAATGAGTAAATTCACAGTGACAGAAAATAGATTAGTGGTTGCTACAGATGGAGGAAGAGGAAATGGACAGTGACTGCTAATTGGTACAGGGTTTCTTTTTGGGGTAATGAGAATGTTCTGGAATTGCTGGTTTTTTATTGAACCACTATGAATATACTAAAAACCACTGAGTTGTATACTTTTAACAGGGCAAATATTATGGGAGATGTTGGTTTTGTTTTGTTTTGTTTTCGAGATGGAGTCTCAGTCTCACTCTGTCACCCAGGCTGGAGTGCAGTGGCATGATGTAACCTCACTGCAACCTCCGCCTCCCGGGTTCAAGCAATTCTCTTGGCTCAGCCTCCCAAGTAGCGGGAATTAGAGGCATGCGCCACCATGCCCAGTTAATTTTTTATTTTTAGTAGAGACAGAGTTTCACCATGTTGGCCAGGCTGGTACTGAACTTCTGACCTCAAGTGATCCGCCCACCTTGGCTTCCCAAAGTACTGGGATTACAGGCATAAGCCACTGTGCCTGGCAATTTTATGGTATTAATAACATTTAAAGTTTTTTCTAAGACTACCAAACCCCCAGAAAACAAATACAGAAGGGCTTATTTGCAAAATTTAGTTCTAGAGAGCCCAAGAGTCCAAATTTATGTGATATTGATATATATACATTTATAGTATTCTGGAGAAACAAGTCACAAGTGACACAGAAACAAGTTTATCATTTTTTAACTTAGTCCATTTACCTGTGTACATGAGAGAACATAGTGGATACCGCAAGCCAAGTGCCTCTTCTGTAAAGGAATCAACAAAGTCCTCCAGCATGTGAAGCCCAAAATCTTTACCTCTGTATTTCTTCCTTAGAAACATTGTATCGAGAACTGGCAGTTGGTAACTTTGGGTAAGAAAAGAGGCACATATACTTCCTGCAGTAATAAGAACAGAAACCCAATAATTTCACACATTAAAAAATACATATACATTTAGTGACGTAAGTTAACAGTCTTTCTAAAAATGTTTATTTTCCTATATCAAAAAATGTTAAATATATAAACATTATAAAGTGTTTTCCAGCTATTAGACATTATAATGTATACAGGTGATAATGAGAGAAGCCATGTATTTTCGGTTTGCCAGTAGTATCATCAAATATAGGACAAATAGCTCATACCATTTTTGAAAATATATACTTCACTATATGTATTAGATATACCATCACTGTCTACAGACTTATGCAACTTTAAAACTCAACTACTAAAATTTCAAATTTGAAGAGAACATGATGACTATACTATAACCTTAGTACTTAAATGTCCTTTTTTCTTTGAGGATGTCTCTGACCTATATTTTATTTTTTTTAAACATTCATCTTTTCCCTCTGCATTTTTCCTAATGAATACCATTTCATTTTTATCTACTTGATGATAGTAAAGAAACAAATTAGTTCTCCAGATTTTTGAGGACTATAGATTGGAATGAATTGGAAACATTTGTCTTAGACGTGAATATAATTTCCTATAGATATAATACTAAATATATTTTGTATGTTTACGGTTAAACAGGCAAAATAATTTGTATTGTCTATGTATCTGTCTCCTTATTATACAACTATGGTGATTCGTCTTTTAAGAACCCTGCTGTATGGGTTTTGACCATCCCAACAGATGTACTAACTCCTTTAATATATCAAGATAGTTTACAAGTTCAGGGAATGTGGTGGTGTGTCATACTTACTGTTAATTTTAGAATTCTTAGTTAAAAGTCATTATTCTATCATTTTTGCCTCAAATAAAATATTATTCTCAGATTATTCATATGATTTTGGGTAACTCTAATAATGTAGTTCAAATAAGAAACAAAATGTCAGATAAACATCTCAAAAATTTGTCTTACCAATCATATCATTTAATGAGTTGATCAATATAACAACTTTTTTTCAGTTCAAGCAAGTAATTTGAACTATTTATGACTGAACTGGAGAACTTCCATAACTTTCTGGAACAATCTCCGAGACTATCAACTAATTTAAATTTAGAATGGGTAATGAATATGGTAATATAGTTAGATTTTTTTTTTTTTTTTTTTTGCTTTTGCTTTTTTTGAGCCTGAATTTCACTCATTGCCCAGGCTGGAGGACAATGGCACGATCTCATCTCACTGCAACCTCTGCCTCCTGAGTTCAAGTGATTTTCCTGTTCAGCCTCCCAAGTAGCTGGGATTACAGGCACCCAGCACCACACCCAGCTAATTTTTGTATTTTTAGTAGAGATGGAGTTTCACCATGTTGACCAGGCCGGTCTTGAACTCCTGACCTCAGATGATCTGCCCCGCTTCAGCCTCCCAAAGTGCTGGTATAAGCCACCACACCTGCCAATATACTTAGATGTTAATTGCTGACATTTAGTTAGGCTATTTCTAAGGGTTTAAATTTCTTGTAGGAACCTAAGAAGTAATCTTGTCAGAGATGTTTGGACCAGCACAACTCTACCTTAAAAGGAAGATGGGTAAAATGAGGCTGAGACCTACTGGTTTGCATTCCCAGACAGTTAAGGCATTCTAAGTGACAGGATGAGATAGGAGGTCAGCACAAGATACAGGTCATAAAAGACCTTGCTGATAAAACAGCCTGCAGAAAAGAAGCTGGCCAAAACCAGGATGGTGATGAGAGTGACCTCTGGTCTTCCTCACTGCTACACTCCCATTAGCACCATGACAGTTTACAAACGCAATGGCAACATAAGGAAGTTACCCAAATATGGTCTAAAAAGGGGAGGCATGAATAATATACCCCTTGTTATGTGTATCATCAATAAATAATCATAAAAATGGGCAACTAGCAGCCCTTGGGACTGCTCTTAACCTGAAGCAGCCACTCTTTTATTCCTTTACTTTCTTCATAAACTTGCTTTCACTTTACTCTATGGACTCGACCTGAATTCTCTCTCATGCAAGATCCAAGAATCCTCTCTTGGACCTCTTTCTGGTAACACTCTGATCAACAAACTAATGCAAACAATATGTTTTCAATGTCTTGAAATTGAGGGTTTTTCTTTTTTTTTCTTTTTGTGACAAGAGTCTGTCTCACTCTGTTGCCAGGCTGGAATGCAGTGGTGTGATCCTGGCTCAACGCAACCTCTACCACCTGGGTTCAAGTGAGTCTCCTGCCTCAGGCTCCTGAGGAGCTGGGATTATAGGTCCATGCCACCACTGCCAGCTAATTTTTGTTTTTTGTTTTTTTTTTTGAAGAGACAGGGTTTCACCATGCTGGTCAGTCTGGTCTCAAACTCCTGACCTCGTGATCTGCCCACCTTGGCCTCCCAAAGTGCTGGGATTACAGGTGTTAGCCACCTCTGCCGGCCCTGAAATTGAGGGTTTTTCATAGTAAGAACAGCAGTGATCATGAAATCAATAGACATTAAGTAGTAGTAGTCAAGTTTGAAGTACAAAGCAAAAATGAATGAAGGGAAAGCACAGTCTAGTTCTAGTTCTCAATACAAAGTCTGAGGATCTATGGTTGTTCACTACTCTGCATGCTTCAAGCTCCTTACAAAAGAATACTACTTATATGAAGAAAGTTTCTCATGAATTGATATCTTTCCTATTTTCACAGAAACATTTCTTCGAGTAAAGAAAAGGGAGATTCCAGTATCTCAGACTAGTGTTAAAATGGCCAATTTATGGAATAAGCAGTGTGTTCACAAAGTTTAAAGTTCTACTATTTATTTACCATGTACATGTACCTTTCAGATAATCAGAAAATCATGCTCGTTCTCTTCCTTTGCCTACACTTTATATATTAATACTTCTGTTCTCCAGGGTCTGACTCATACAAATGCAATCAAATAAAGGGCAGAAAAACTTTGCATATTATCAAAGACTTTTAAGACATACCAAAAGCTGTAAATTTACCTAGTAAAGCAAAAACTAAAACCTGCTGTCTTAGGTAACGTTTTCATTAAATTTACTAGCTCAGACTAAATTTAACTTAGAGCACACATTAGATTGTTTATACTCCTCAAAATTCCATCTTTGGCCTTCTCTTTTCTATGTGCTCTGAGTATTTTTATTCACCCAAAAGACTTCTGCCATTTATACAAATGCAGACGACCACTAATGTCTGTCTTTAACCACTGTAATGAATGAGACTTACTTCAAAATCAAGAATGAAAGAGCTCATCTGAATGTAAATAAAACAAAAGTTACATGATCATCTCAATAGCTAGAGAAAAAGCATTTGATGAAACCCAACCTTTCAAGATAAAAATACTCAACTTCCTCAACCTAATACAGGGCATCTACCAAAAAAAAAAAAAAACCCCACACTTAACATGATAATAGTGAACCAGCGGATATTTCTCTTAAGATCAGCAACATGACGAGGATATTTACTCTCTCCAATTGCATTCCACATTGTACTAGAGGATCTAGCCAGAATAATTAGGAAAGAAAAAAGATCAGGAAGCTAGATGTAAAACTGTCTCTATTTGAAGGTAACATGATCTTACATACAGAAAATCTTAAGGAATACACTAAAAAAAAAAAACTATCAAAACGAATAAAGAAGCTCAGCAAGGTTGCAGGATACAAGATCAATATATAAATATCATTTGTATTTCTATATATTAACAATGAACAATCCAAAAAATGGAATTATCAAAACAATACATGATAGTATCAAAAAATAAATACCTAATTAACAAAAGACATGCAAAACTTGTACAATAGAAATTACAAACCTTGTTATAAGAAATTAGAGAACAACTAAAATAAATGAAAACACATCTCATGTTCATGGATCTAAAAATTTAATATTGCTAAGATGTCAGTATTTTCCAAAACAACCTACAGATTCAAAATCCTAGTTAACTGCTTCACAAAAACTGTCAAATTCAGCCCAAACACATGAAAATTATAAGGAGCCCAAAGAGCCAAAATAATCTTGACAAAGACTTACACTTCCAAATTTCAACTTACTACAAAGCTACAGTAATCAAGACAGTATGTTACCGGTATGGAACAAGATACACAGATCAAAGAAATAGAATTGAGGGTCCAGAAACAAGCTCTCATATTTATGGTCAACTGGTTTTCAACAGCGGTGCCAAGACAATTCCATAAGGGAAAATTATATATTCAACAAATGGTGCTAGTACCACTAGATAATCTAAATGCAAAATAATGCCAGGCCCCTTCCTTGAAATGTAGACAAATTTTAACTGCAAATGGATTCTAAACCTAAATATAAGATCTAAAACTGTTAAAACGCTCAGAAGAAAACACAGATGTAAGCCTTTGTCACTTTGGATTAGGCAGAGCCTTCTTAGATACAACACCAAAAACACAAGTTACAAAAGAAAAAGTAGATAAATTAGACCTCATCAAAATGAAGAACTTCTGGGATTCAAAGAACACCATGAAGAAAGTAAAAAGACCACTCACAGAATGGGAGAAAACATTTCCAAAGTATGTATCTGACAAGGGTCTCAATATCTAACATGTATAAAGGGATCTTACAACTCAAAAAGAAAAAGACAACACAGACTGAATCTAGATTAGTGGTTTCCAGAACTGTGGTGTAAGGGAAAGGGGAAGTGACTGCCGATTAGTACAGAGATTCTTTCCGAGGAGATGAAAATGTTCAGGAATTAGATAGTGGTAATGGCTGTATAAATATATGAATATCCTAAAGGTTACTGAATTCTACACTGTAAAAAAGTAAATTCTACGGTCTATGAATTGAATGAATCTCAAAATGTGCTGAAAGAACCCAGACCTCACCCCACAACTGCCAAAGAGTATGTACTGTATATCCTCATTTATATAAAATTCTAGAAAAAGCAAGCTCATCTATACTAATAGGCAGCAAAATGTTTCCTTGGAGACAAACAGGGGAGAGAGGAATAGATTACAAAATGGTGAAGATAAA